TTTTTAATTGTAAGTAATCACGTAACCATGATCATGCGGCAGCAGCATTTATGCCGTTATATTAGGTTAGGTCAAGGTAAATTACTTGTCTGCATGTAAACATCGTCCCAGTGACTCACTACATGACTCACAGTAAACAAAGAAAACATGAGGTTAGGTTTATTCCATTTTGGTGTAAAAATACATGTTTCCGACGGACTTCTCTGTCCGGGGTCCTCTCGTTTTGACAGCAATAGGCGGGCAGTTCACCTCTCCAGTCATCCAAGAGGAAGTTGGTCGTCTATGCTTTCTGTCTTATCTTAGTTGCTTCGCGGTTGTGGGCTGACCATCAATTCGTCCAAGTGCTTATTAGGCCCTACCTTGACATAATTAGTACTATATTACTGCAGGGTTGAATTCATCCCTCGAAAGGAGTGCATTCTCACCCTCATAGTCTGAATTTCTATCGAGATTATATGTGGCTAAGCCTCTACCCTCGAACATGACAGATTAGAGAGAGGGAAGAGAGGGGGAGAAAGAACGATCCTTTCCTTGTTGCTTTTTAAGAATCTCAGACTTTATCAGTGATGGGAAAGGAGATTAACTGCAGCTGGATATCGGTAGTGATCCAGAGGCTTTTCATACGCTGTGAGTGTGCGCTCGTTGAATCTCACCCTCTCCGCGGTTCCTTGGGGTTCATCGTTGCGTTCTGCATCGTTCCGGCCTGTGTCCCTCTTCTCGAAACCAATCGCTTCAAGTGTACAGTGAATTGGAGGCGAAAGAGAGGATTCCGATGAGAAAATACGTCAAGAATGTCGATGACTTCTGCAGGAAGATGAAACCAGGTCGAGGTATTCTCAAGAATGAAAATTTATTTTCAATTCGTCTATCAGGTATTGCAAACAGCCACTTTTCGAAAAAAGAAAAACCGAAACCCTTGAATCTACATATCCTTCTACCATCCCCTTTCGTGGATTTTTGAAGGCAGGAGAGCTAGATGCCCGCCCCCACCCCCTTCCAGCCCTAAGATCCTTCCAAAACCTGAAATACTCGTCAATCACTAGGAGGGATGTGTAAAGTTGTATATCTTGCTCAAACGTGAAAATCGTCACTATTGCAATCCTATTTCTCTGTCATCGACTCATCCCTCCTCTTCGGGATTGTTAGGCATTGAAGTATGAATTTCGTTTGTCAAACGGGGAAATTTCTGAATGTTTGAACCCGAGGAACTCCGGAGAGAGCCTGTACGAGGCGCTGGGCCTGGCGGAGGGTGCAGGCTACGACGAAGTCAAAACTGCTTTCAGGAGGCTCGCGCTCCAATATCAACCCGGTAAAAACCCTGGGAATCCCGAGTCGGCGAAGAAGTTCAAGGAGATTGATTCAGTCTACAAAATCCTTTGAGGACATTCAGCACTAACAGAGAATATTGTAAATCCACTCTTGTCAGGGAAAACTGTCAGATTTTCTACACGTTGTTGGATCTTAAGTGAAAGGTCATTGGGAATATTCTATTTGAAATTCAATCCCATTTTCAGGTGAATCTCTTGGTTCGTTTTCAAGATTGAGACATAGTGCCACAAAAATTACGCTTCACTGCCATCTTTAGATAAAACATGGAATGGAAGAAGTTTGTGCTCAATATTCGTGCCCTGGCTGAGATTGGAGATGAGAGTTGCATAATTATTCACTGAAATTCGCAAGTGGTGTTTCCAAAGGGATTCTGAAAGATTTATTTGTAAATACCACAAGCTCATAAAGGTATTATACATGGGATCCGGGGAATTTTAAACCTTAAACCACGTAAAAACAAATAAATTATTTATTTGAAAAGATATATATATATATCATTTTAACTGTAGTTTAGCGTAATATTAAATGAGTTGAAGAATTAGTATCGTTGAAAACACTCCCTCCTGATAACGTCAACAAAGCAATTCTAGGTTACTAAATGGTGAACATATGTTTTAACAATGCGTCTTCAGGTTGAAACCAACAGTCGCACTTCAAATCTTTTCTTTGAAAGAATTTTGCGATGATACCCATTTGTTTAAATTCCGTTTTAGGACCGAAACCCTAAAGTTCTCAGAAACTCTATTGTGTTTTCCCTTCCAAAAAGGAACAAGATGTACGAGACAGGTAAAGAGCCTTACTGTTGAGAAGGAACTTGCGTAGAGGATTGAAGGAAGAATATTAGGATGAATTACTTTGTGGACGAGGATAAATAGCAGGTATAACTTTCCTGTAATAAAGGAAAGTATTCCGCCTGGTCACCATATCGGCATATTAATAAGCATCAGCTCCTTTAAGCGAAGTAGTGCCAGTGCGGTGAACAGGCCGCGTGGAACGCACACAAAGCCTCTGTGAACATTCACCCTTGCCTTGGACCTCAGCGATTAAAGTCGCAGATATTCCTTGAACCACTATACCGAGGAAACAATGTGGACCAGATGATCCTTACGAAGCACATCAACCAGAATTTAAATTCGGCAACGTCTAGTCTAGTCGACAATTTCATTGAACCTCTACTTGGAGAACCGCGCATTCAACTCTTTATGACCACTTACTTCAAGTGGGGAAAGAAGAACGCTCTTTGATGACGTCGCCGTCTCAAAATCACCACGATTACACGTTCTCATAAAATAAATATATCATTAGAATCTGATTAGCAGAGAATGTAATTGTAATGGACGTTACAATTCAAAGTCCTTAGAGGAGGAGTTATCGTTGTTGCGAAACAAATAGAAATGCATTGGACAAGCTCAAATATATTGCAAGATATATTGCTAGATATGGGGAAATAGCTTCAATAAATAAAATATACCATACAAATGTATTTCTTGCATGTCATACACGAGGGCCACTCAATAAGATATCTACCTGAATATGAAAGGGATGAGCAACAGGCCTGTGCCTGCTGTGACATTTCTCGACAAGTCTCGTGAGTGCCCCACCAATATACCAGCTCAGTGGCTCAAGTCCGTTGTTTGATGGACAAGAAGTTGACTTCTATTCCCATGGAATGAAATCCTTGAAATCAAAGTGGAAAAAGTGTGTTGAGTTAAAACGTGACTACATTGAAAAATAAAGTGTTATTTTTCCCCTAGGATGTTTCTTTCTTATTCAAGCAGATAACTTATTGAGTGACCCTCGTATGCATGGGCTCAAGAACACAATAAGGACACAAGCGGCACTCATATTTTCCCTCCTCCCGAGGCGTCTGCTACTGAAATGATGGATATTCTCTTGCCTACTACAGCACGCGGAGATTAAGCGAAAGAGATGCGGAGGACAAAAAAAAAACTCACTCAAACGATGGAAGTCGCCTTCCAGCAATACAAAGATACTATGAGTCGATTGACTGGGGGCCATGTGATCAGTGAACAGGACCTGATCGACGAAAACAAATGGCTTCGTGAGGGAGCGATCGATTCCCTATCGAAGACACAAACACAATGGCCGCAAATTTCGACGAAGTTCAAGTGCGAATTGGAGAAAGTGTGAACTATGCCACCTTGCAGAATTCCATTAGTGCATTTGGAATCTTTCGTTCCCTTTTCCCAGGCAGCGCATAGTTGCCCAGTACGAGGCGTACGAGGGGGAGAGAGATGCAAGAGAAAGAGCGGCGAAACCCAGGCTGAGGAACGCCATCGTATCGGCTGCATCTCAATATGACATCCAGCTGAACCGAATGTGCGATGCAGCTTCGATCAGCGAGGAGGAATTCGCGAAATGGAATGCGGAATGTCGCAGGCAAGATATGGCGACTTTTCTTGAGGATTGAGTGCAATGGCCACAACTGTCCTGCAAATTCAAGGAAGAGTTGGAAAAGGTCAGTTGCACCTCACTCGACACTGAAAAGGATGACCAGTAAGACTAATGTGTCGTGAATTAATTTATTATTTTTCGAAGCATTATTTATATTTATCACTGTTGGTGGCGCCTTTGGCGCTCAACAATTTTAGATAATGGATAATTCATTCGAAGGGCCCAAGCTTAACGATTGTGTTGGAATACCTTGGGTTATTTGCATGATTCTCTGTTTAATTACTTCCTATTCTGTATTGTCATAGGCAAACTAATGGATCGTTAGTCTCAATTGATATCGTGCCGATAATACCAATTCTGTATACTTTTTTTAAATATTTGTTCCATTACGCATTTACTGTATATCTCAATTTTTAGTCTCTCGATTTCGTTGTAGTGAAAAGAATTATTCAAATATTTCACCATGAGGAAAATGTACCCCTAGAATATTCATGTCAGAAGTTTATTTTTTTTTACTTCATATTTAGTATAAAAAGTACTGCATGCTAACGTTGTTAGAGTTCTCTTTATTTGTCTGTTTGGCTTTATCAAAAATACATTTAGAAAAACTGCTATAACCAACAATTTGTCTTTGAGGGGATGTGCCTCGAAAGTGTGAAATCAGCCTTTCCATGTCTCGTCTTTTGACTGAAGTAAACAAATTCTTTGAAAACGTCTCCCGAAAAAAATGTCCTGCCAAGATATGTAATGAAATACATTTCCTGACTGCGTGCACAACGTGACGCATGAGCGACTTTTCAACGTTGAACGGTTTTTCATTTCAACATTGGAACATCATATAATCTACCTTTAACCCATCGTTGTGGCAACATCGGGGGAAAAGCGATCCTCTCTCGACGTTGGGATGTTTTTTGTGGCCGAGTGGGAGTCGTTTAAGCGTGTAAGAAAAAGTATATTTATTCTCTTCCAGCGCCTGGATGAGATTTATGCGATGATGATGACAAAAGGAGCATAAGGAGTGATGCACGCAGTGGGAGCCGCATCCAAGCTATACGACGAACAAATGAACGTGTTATGTGGGGGTCAACTGATTAGTGAGCAAGATCTGATTTAGGGAGACAAACAATTCCGGAGGGAAGCAATCGATGCCTTTTCGAAGACGGGATCCGAATGACTACATCGTTCCACAAAATTCCATATGGAGTTGGAAAATGTATAAATCCTTTGATTTCTCGTAAGTTGTGCAGGGTGCTTGGATGATTGACCTCCCACTCTTGCTCTTCCTAGAGCCTGACATCTCTCTACGAAATGTATGCGAAAGAGAGGGATGCAAGGGAGAAAGCAGCGGAAAGAAAACTGAGGGATGCAATCGAATTGGCTGCATCTCACTACGACAGAGCGACTTGAATGGAGAAGATTCGATCACGCAAGAGGAGCGGAGGAAAATAAATGCAGACTATCGCAGTGAGGCACATTCTATTTTTTAGCCGAACGCAGCACAGTGGCCTTATCTCTTGGCGAAGTTCCAAGACGACTTTGAAAAGGTCGGTTCCAAGGTTCAAGTCGTTAATTGGTTTTGCGGTATCAATAGGCGATGACACCCATTTGGACACCACGTGTCGAGGTAGAGCGTTCCTTAATTTTAGGGTAGGCCTATTCCCCTTATAGGTAATTTTTTTTGTATTTTAGTGATTTTTAAAAGCATAACTTAGTTGCTTACTGCCTAGTCCCTCAATTGCGCCCCTTCTTGTTTGTCCATAAAAACATAGTTTTATCTTTAAAATAGTCAGGAAGGGGCAGCCACTACGTCGATTCACGCCATAGTCCTATAATGATTAATCCTTAAAGTGCTGCTCTTCTCACCTAGCGCCTTGATGAGATTCACGAGACGAGGAGAAGAGATGCAGGGAAAATTCGGAACATATCTGAAGCCGCAGCCGGCCAAGGCAAACAGCGGAGTCCCTTAACAGGGTGTTATCTGACTAGTGAGCAGGATCGGATTCACGGAGGAGAAACATTCCGGAAGGGAGCAATCTATGGCTTGCCGAGGAAGGGATGGCCAGACCTTTAAAAATAGCTAAGGGACGAGTTGGAAAGAGTATGACTCATTTTTTTATGGCTTCAGGGTCATTCAGAACACGTAGACATAAGGAATTTAAGTGCGGTTTATAACTTTTGCCTTGTCTATTTGGGCCAGCTATGAATTTCGATGCCAAAATATACGAGGGAAAATCGAAAACGAAGTCAATCAAGCCTTTTCACAGATAACATATTGCACGCAACAAATTTGCAGATGAAGATGAGAGTACTTCCCTTATATATTTCCTTCCGAGGTGGCGTAGTGTAAAAGGTCCTGTCCAACAAGGGAAGGAATTAAACATGGCCCACAGGCTGGAAGTGTCAACACGTGAGACGCATCGGAGTGTGATGACGTTTCTGTTTGCGCAGGGCCTCGCACAGGCGAATATTCATCGTGAAATTAGTGCTGTGTATGGAGACTGTGTGTTGCTACGTCATGTCTATATATGGAATGAAGTTCCCATTAGGACGCGCAATTGTCGTCGACGACGGGGTGACCACAATGTTCGTAGCTGTCGACCCCGTGTTTGGGCCGCACGTCGTCGACGTCACTTACGCGTCCTGCAGTGAACATATCGAACTATTTATACCGCGCAGCACTCATTTCACAGGGAATGCTCTCTTGTGCGTGGCCCTGCGCCCACAGAAACCTAATCACACTCCGCTGTTTCTCACGTTTTGACTCTTCCAGTTCGCAGATTTGTGATTGCCTCCGCAATCACAAATCCTCCGCTGCTGCCTGCAGGAACTTCTTTTCTATGCCACCTCAGGAGAAAATAGAAAAGGTCACGTGCTCTGTGAAATTCATCTGGAAATTTTTTTCATGTGCAACACTGCACCTGTGAAAAAAATTTGGCAGAACTCTTCTCCGAGTCACCCTGGTATCTCTATTTAACACGTAGAATTCTCTGTCCAAATATTATTCAAAGTAGTTATCTTCAGACATAAATTATTGGGAAATGGGATGACGTGCACGTGGAATTCGTTTTCACCCAGATCAGTTTCGTCCTGTCAGAACGAGAACCTCTTTGAAGAGGCTTCCCGAAATAAATAAAAATCAAGACGAATAAAATACGGACTACACAGTGGCAATACTGTAGGTACGGCATTTCCCTTCTATCAATCCAGTCTTGTCTCGCAAACAACATCTCCTAAAAGATGAAACTAGTAGCTTCTTTACTAACTAGTTTCTCTAGTGTGTCAAAAATTAGATCCAGGTCCATCCATTTACAGAATATTGAGCTGTGATTGTTTAAAAGAAATTAGATAGGAAAGTTCCTGGAATTTGTGATATGCACAAAGCATGAGTGAAACCCAGGCTTCGCGACGAAATCAGCGTCGTTCATTCGGCTTTTTGTTTTGAGTTCCTGCTGTTTTTCTTGGCATTTGAAACCTAAATGTCTCCATCAGATAAATGTCGAGTTGACGGAAGAAGATCGCAAGTTCGCCATCGACTCCGTGGCAGTGCACAACACGTACAGGGTGAAACATGGAGTCTCCCCTCTCAAACTCGACGAGAATGTGAGTCTACGATCGAGGCGCGATATGGCAATGTGCATGGACCCTGCATTCGCACTCCCTCCTCCACCTCTGACTCGTTCCATCCGGCGGATGTTCGTGAATTCCTCCACCTTCCGTTGAATGGATGCTTCGTGTGATCTGCAGATGTGGAAGGAGGCGAAGGAATGGGTCAGACGCATGAACGATTCGGAAGAAATCATGCATCTGCAGGGCGGAAAATACGGGGTAAACGTCTACTGCGCAAAATACACGGTTGGGAACTTCACAATCAGCTCCCATGCCTTCGTTGAGAGGTGGTACTCCGAGATCGAACAACATCGATACGACCATGAACCTACCGGTAAACTGTCAACTGGTGAGTTGAGTAGCAATGAATGGCCTTCGAACCACGCTGCATTGTGTTGTTGAGCACTAGGCCTGTCTCGATTCCATGCGGGTCTCGAGGACCTGAGGACCTGAACAGAATGCTGCAGCGCAGGAACTGTCAGCCGAAAGTAGACTCATGCTACAAAAGCAGAGAATTCAAAATGGTTGGGAGATTCTGCAGATGAGTGCGTCGCCGAAGATATTATATTCCGTCATTGCGTGATTTCTCATATACTGCTCTGAGTGGGTAAAAAAAGCACAGATTTTTCTGTTTGTATTTCAGGAATGGTACTGTATTTTGAAACCCCGGTGAAAGGGTACTTCTTCGACCTTAAAATGGTACCCCATTTGTCGACAAAAGATAATAGGAAAGCTTTGAACGGTCGCTTTTCGAAAAGCGAAAAGTGAGCTGCAGCGGCTGCAGCGGTAGCGTGACCTTCATAGGTGCGCTTTCTGTCTTTCCGCTTATTGTCGTGCCTTCTCAGCGTCGGGCAGTGATAACATGGAAATTTAAAACGAGAAAATTGAAATAACAGTTGCTTCATTTTGAAGCTAATTAAATGCTATTTCCGATGAGTCCTGCCTCATTCCTCTACCTCGTACCAGTCAGAGATATAAGCTGCTAATTTCAGTGCGGTTTTTTTTTACCCACCCTGTATTTCCAAATTCTACGGGATGCCACGAAACGGGTGAGAAGAAAAAATCGAACGAGAGGAAGTTCTGAGGGATCGAAGGCAATCCCACGCGTGTCAACATTTGTGGTGAATGGCATCTCGCGGGATTCCAGGGTAAATATTGATCCCGCCCTAAGGGGTTCTCACGGCCTATCTCCTCTAGGTCCAAGGTGAGATACAAAGATTGTTAAAGAGCGAGGTAAGAACAAGGACTCCGAATTACCCTTGAAGGGTGGCTGAGAGTTTCTCGTATAAAAAAAAACAAGAGGACGTCATGCGCTGTTATTCCGGCATTGGAACAGCGATGCGTAATCAAATTTCTGGTGAAGGAAGGTGTCAAGGTGTTTGAAATCCATTGTAGACTTGCAACCACGTGACACAGCGGAACATCAAAATTCTGGGCGACAGCTTCGAGCAACTCTTCGGAAATCTTTTCAATTTCACTCTGAATGGCATCCTGGAGCTCCTTGGTAGTTTTAAGGTTGTCATGTCAACTTCATCTTTAATACATAAATTATTCGCATGAGTTGGGGTCCGGGGTATAAGGTCAGTCGATTACCTTTCCAGGCGTCGATTACCTTTCCAGGCGTCGATTACCTTACCTTTCTAATCCAGAACAATAATGCCATCGTCGAAATGTTCTTTCAGGAACTAAAACATCTCGCGGGTGCGATGAGGCCTCGCCTCTTCCTCCAGAAACCAAGTTTCTTGCTTGAGCCCTGTACAGCTGCGACGAAATGCGTGTCCTTTTTAACTCTCAATCGCTTTGCTGATAGTTGACTTTAATGGGCCATAACTCACTCAATACTCTCCAAAATGCCCTTCTCGCTGTACCTTGACCTTTTTTTACATAATCAAATTGTATTATTTCAGCCTAAAAACGCGTTAATTGAGGTTGTGAATCGACATTTATATTTTTAATGTGAATAATATAAAACTATTTAAATCTCACGAGCGATAAACTCTCCTACAATTACTAAACATCCTTGTAAAATATGAAAATGTTAAACACACATTTGTCAAATATATCAATGATTCCTATGGAAGCGTATAGTATTTCACTCCTCGAACCTCTATAGTCGCATCTTCTCGCAAGAAGATAGACGCTAATGGAAGTGATTTCGAGTTATGTGTTCTTCCTTGGGAGAACACATCGAAGCCTGTGGGTTTATCTTGAGGCTTGAATCCCCTTTCTTCATTCTTTAGGGCCAGTATTGCCAGACGTCACCCTGGGGTGCTTTCAACTTTAAATAATATATTGGCATTCCAACATATTCCTCTTTGCTATAATATAATAAGATACTGCATGCAAGAAATCCCCGAGGCGTGGCTTAGTTCCTTCACGGGCGACTCACTGGGTTGACGACTGAGGTACCATCTTACATCGGCAATGGTAACTTCACTTTTACACGAATAGCCACCTGCTCCGATTAATGAAAGCGAAGGAACAGAAGGATCGAGAGAAGAAGAGGGGGAGAGAATTTAGGGCAGGGGTTATTAACCTTTCTCTCCCTACGCACCCTCTGCATCCACCAGGCACCTCTACCCGCCCCCTCCCCCAAGCGGTGTGGGCACCCCTGGTTAAGAAGGCTTAAGTTGAAATTTGAGTGATCCTGGCTTGGACTCTTTCCTTTCGTCTTCATCTCCACTCTTCCGCATAGAAACTACCAAAATTGCTTGGCGTGATTATTGGATTTCACTTCGATAACGAATAGAAATGAAAATATTTTGGCATGACTGCTCCCTACCGGGAGGGAAGGCACAGACCCCACTGGGAACTGGAAAGGCACGCGAGGCGATGTTGAATGCGTCAGGAAAGAGCAAAAATGTGTCTGGGAGGGAGGAGGACGGATGAGTCATCANTCGATTACCTTTCCAGGCGTCGATTACCTTACCTTTCTAATCCAGAACAATAATGCCATCGTCGAAATGTTCTTTCAGGAACTAAAACATCTCGCGGGTGCGATGAGGCCTCGCCTCTTCCTCCAGAAACCAAGTTTCTTGCTTGAGCCCTGTACAGCTGCGACGAAATGCGTGTCCTTTTTAACTCTCAATCGCTTTGCTGATAGTTGACTTTAATGGGCCATAACTCACTCAATACTCTCCAAAATGCCCTTCTCGCTGTACCTTGACCTTTTTTTACATAATCAAATTGTATTATTTCAGCCTAAAAACGCGTTAATTGAGGTTGTGAATCGACATTTATATTTTTAATGTGAATAATATAAAACTATTTAAATCTCACGAGCGATAAACTCTCCTACAATTACTAAACATCCTTGTAAAATATGAAAATGTTAAACACACATTTGTCAAATATATCAATGATTCCTATGGAAGCGTATAGTATTTCACTCCTCGAACCTCTATAGTCGCATCTTCTCGCAAGAAGATGGACGCCAATGGAAGTGCTTTCGAGTTATGTGTTTTTCCTTGGGAGAACACATCGAAGCCTGTGGGTTTATCTTGAGGCTTGAATCCCCTTTCTTCCTTCGTTAGGGCCAGTATTGCCAGACGTCTCCCTGGGGTGCTTTCAACTTTAAATAATATATTGGCATTCCAACATATTCCTCTTGGCTATAATATAATAAGATACTGCATGCAAGAAATCCCCGAGGCGTGGCTTAGTTCCTTCACGGGCGACTCACTGGGTTGACGACTGAGGTACCATCTTACATCGGCAATGGTAACTTCACTTTTACACGAATAGCCACCTGCTCCGATTAATGAAAGCGAAGGAACAGAAGGATCGAGAGAAGAAGAGGGGGAGAGAATTTAGGGCAGGGGTTATTAACCTTTCTCTCCCTACGCACCCTCTGCATCCACCACGCACCTCTACCCGCCCCCTCCCCCAAGCGGTGTGGGCACCCCTGGTTAAGAAGGCTTAAGTTGAAATTTGAGTCATCCTGGCTTGGACTCTTTCCTTTCGTCTTCATCTCCACTCTTCCGCATAGAAATTACCCAAATTGCTTGGCGTGATTATTGGATTTCACTTCGATAACGAATAGAAATGAAAATATTTTGGCACCTGACGAGGGATGGCCCTCCCTTCCGTGTCTGGGGTGACCCTTGACCTTTCCGTGCGCTCCGCTACAACTTACGCAGTCCTTTCTCGTTTTTACACAGACCCTCCCTCCTCCTGCCTACTCAGTAGTCGTGGATGTATGTCGATCTTCCCTGCGCGTCAGAACTGCTTATCTCTCGTATCTACCTCCATCGCCAGGTTTTTTTTTCTCTACTAACATTGCAAGCCGGAGATAAACAAAGCCGAAATAAAACGAAGTTACTTCGTTTGCTCTGTGTGAGCTCTGTGGACTCGTTCTGAAGAACAAGAATGAAGCTCGTGTACTTCCTTGTCGCGACCATTTTCCTCTCAGCTTCCCACGTTTCTGCGGGTATGGAGGAACATTTTCATTTTTCTTTTCTGAAGCGAGCTATTAGAGCTTGCAAATTTTGTCTTGAGGTAAATCACAGCAATTAATTCCAAAAATGGAATGCAATTTAGTCAATTCTCCATGGATCACTGCAAACATGAAGTTGGATATTCATAGAATAAGTTTATCTTGGAAAGGGCTGTTAGTCTATTCCCAGTGTAGAATGCCCTAGTTTTTTTTTCTCTCTAATGCAATTTAGTCAATTCTCCATGGATCACTGCAAACATGAAGTTGGATATTCATAGAATAAGTTTATCTTGGAAAGGGCTGTTAGTCTATTCCCAGTGTAGAATGCCCTAGTTTTTTTTTCTCTCGCTTAATATGCATTCCACTATAGGATGCTCCTCGAAGGATGCTTAGACTACCTAACCATTAATTTTTGTTCATTAAACACATAATATAAAACTACAAGAATTGAATTGAATTCTTATATCGTATGTGTGTATCATATAGCTTCATTACGCAAGTGAAAGACACTTCCCTATGGTCACTTTCGTGAATTACAATCTGAAGCCTAAGAAAGAGAATCGTGAATTAGGCGAACGATGCTGTCAATGAGTCCAGGACAACAACTCATATCTCACTTCAAGAACAGAGTCCAGCAGCGACGGAACCACCCAAAATAAGCGGAACGAGAGGAAACGAGAGGCAACGGTCTGAAAGAGCGACTGACCCCTCTCCCTTCATCCTCCGTAGCGGCCTTCGACGAGCAGTGCACCCGAGACGATGAATGCGACCCGCGGGCGACCATGGTGTGCAGGCGCGACAAGTGCGTGTGCAATAATATCTCTTGGCTCGACGAAAACGACAAGAAGTGCTGTACGTCCTCAATGGATTACTCTTCGTAGATCGGTTTACCGGGAACTTGCGCTTTAACGGTCTTACAGAAAGAAATGGGAACGGAAAACGTAGCTACAATTAGAAAATGTTCCCTAATCAGTTGAGAACTATCATTCATTTCCTACTTTTTTCCTCTTTCAGTGGACGCTACTAAGAAAAAGTAATGAATTTGTCCTCTTCCGCGTGTCTTTTCTCTCAAAGGTCACTTCAGAAAGAAATTTGTTTAAGAATGTTACGATTTTTCCTAAATGTAATTTTTTTTTACAATGGCTCCTTTGTGGAAACTATTTTAATACTAGGTTGTAACGAAAGTTTTTGTGCATAAATCCTTTTTTTCCAGTAATGACGCAGCAGTCGATTTTTCGTGACACATTTTGAACGCTGTAATTTTTAAAAATATAAATTTAGCGATTTGTAAAAAAAAAAACAACATATACGTAGTAACACATAACATATACGAGGCATAAAACGCGCTTCAAAATAATACCAAATACGTATATCAAAAAATGTTTTTTTTTTTAGAAAATGATGCTGAAATAAATTTGTATTTATGCACACAAACTTTTGTTACAACCTAGTATATACTTCACAAAGAAAAACTTAAGTAAATTTCCCACATTCTAGCTATCCAATGTTGTTGCAAAGTTTCAAAAAGCAAAACTTGAAAAGCAAGTATGATTTTAATCTATCATCAATTTCGAGACATGGTGGTAGCAGCATTTATTCGTCACAGCTTGGTGCAAAATAAAATAAAATAGAATGAAATAATAAAATTATCGGGTATTACTCACTCGTCAGCAAAATATTGAAGAAGAGGAAGAATCCAATTTGGCATAGGGACAGATTTTAGCACATCTACCGTAGCAAGATTCGAGGCAAAAACGACATCGATATTATTCATTTGTCTCATGATAACCAGGGGTCAAACGTAACTTATGAAGAAAGCCGTGAGCTGTTGCACGAGCCATAACATGGCGGTTTGCCTCATTAGGTTTCCTTCAATGGTTTGTTCCCGGGTCGCATCAGACATCCCAAGTAACACAGCATGTTGATGAAACGTTTCCGAAATGTTGCCAATGTTGCTCTATGTTGCAAGTTGCTGTACAATCGTGAAGCAACGTTTTTAATCAACATTGCTGCAACATAAATCCTGAAACGTATCTGCAACGTATATGTGATGAATAAGCAGCGATTTGCAACGTATATGCCATGTTCCTTCGCAACATTTGAGCAACGTTGACGTTTTGGACATTTACACATAGATCAACATTGTTCATTTCCTAAGCGTTGCTGGAATATCTTGTGTTACTTGGGATTGATTCAACGTTGACATGGTTTAGATCGAATGCGTCACTGTTGACAGTTGATAACTCTGTGTTAATTCAACAATGATTCAGTGATTCAACGTGGCCCTTTATACATCCACATTGGGTAAATATTGATTCATTGTGCTCTATTAACGGAGGGAGCATCCACATTAAATCATCATTGATTCATATATTCAGAGGGATTCCCCCGAGTCGGGGAACTCTTTCCCAGCCGGTAGGGTCCGAGAGAAATCTCCATCGATGGAAAACCCGATCTATCAGAAATTCCGCGTCGTATTTTCGCCGTGTTGCAACTTGAACCCGATTAGCTACGACCGAGTTATTGAAACAAAGGTCGGGGATCAGTGGCTCGATTGAAAGCATGTTTCGCTCGCATGACGTTTTGCAAAGGTTTGAAACCTGGCCGAGTCGGACCTTTTCTCCGAGATAGCGAGGATTTGTTTGGGATAAGCCATTAGGACATGGTTTAGGAGTCGAGCATCGACACTAGGTGAATATACACAAATTTAAGGGCTTATAGATTCACCCCTCATCTGGATCCAATAATAGACTCCCATTGATCAAACAATTTGTTATAATTTTTTCCTAAATTTAGAGACTCTTATAGATAGTATTTTATAGAAGTATAAATGTTTTAATGTTTTAATTTGCTTTCAACAAGAAAAAAAAAACAAACCAAGGATTCTAATGGATTCTCGCTTTCGTGATGCTCCTCATTCACAATATGCCTTACCCGGATGAGGGCTAAAATAAGATTTGGTTCCCCGATTTCGGTGCATATCACTTGAAAGATGCTTCCTTTCCTCGGGCTGAATTTGGGCTTGAGGTCCTAATTCTCATATTTACGGGGAAGTTTGCAACTTGATATTGGGTTGTTTCCATTTAAGATCCAACTGCTGAAATCTAAATGTACCTCTTTCTATCTTTGGTAATAAAAATAAAGAATTAATTTTTTTTGTGGCCCACTCTCTGTACCACAGGGATTAAGGGTGGAGCGCGAGCGGTCTGATAAGTCACCGCAATACTGTTAGAGTACCTTTCGACCTTCACTCTAAAGTGTTTTCCCTTTACTGTGATTGTTATTACAAACCTTTCCGGCTACATAGGTTGACATCTTGCCAGTAGTCATAAGAATTTTCAAAATTTCGTCATGCCTAGGAAAGCTTTGAGCATTTATTTTTTAATTATACGATACCTTTTATAATAAGGAATGATATGGATAACTTATTGAAATTGAGAGGAATGAATGCATTCATATTCCAGATTTGGGACACCTAGCCCCGTGCAACGAAACCACGAAGCCGTATTGCACGCGTCCCCTCGAGTGCATCGAAAATAAATGCAATTGCCCGGTCCCTGGAGCAGCATTCGTGGAGAACAGCTGCTATAAAGAATCCGGTGCGTCTCTCCTTCCCAAATGGCCCAAACGACCCGAATGGCCCGTTGCCATAGGGAGCTTCGCGACTCGCCGTCTTCCTAACCGTTTTCAACGCACGAAAAGCCTGTTCCATAGAATATTTACTTGTTAATAACTGGAAGTGATGAGTACTTACAAGGGTCATGTGTAAACACTTGTAATATTCTGTGGAACAACTCCCTGATGGCAATGAACCTACGCTTAGGGCTCGGTGAACTCGGTGAACCTTTTGGGGAGTGGACCGGAGCAGGCGGTGTGCAAGGAAGGAATTTGCACGTGCAATGAAGAGAAGTGGTTCTTCCCGCTGCTTCAGAAGTGCGGTAAGATCTTCGAGCTGTATTTGAGATGAGGAAAGTAGTGTCGTCCTATCATTTTTCAAAATACTTCAGGCGCTCAAATCTCAATGACTTTTTACACAAGTACGAGGGACTTTCAGAAAGGTCTGGGAATTCCGTCAGTGAACAAAAGGAAATCGAGCTTAACCTATTCTGACTAGTGGCAGGTGAACCTGCTGCAAACCGGTAAAGCAAGATGCTCTGATGTCGTGGAAGGAATCACTATGATCTTCAGAGACCACACCCCAGTAGCACCTAAACTTGTTCAATCAACGTATCATTTAGATTATTGCCAGTGTTCCATTAACGTCCTTGGGAACGTTCTATGGACTTCTTAAATGTCCAAAATTCAAAGTTATGAAAAACATTTCGAATTATGTGTTCCATGAACAACGTGAATTCATCAAGGACGTGAACTGAATATTTCCATGAAAAGGGTTCAATAAAACTATCTATGCCTCGCCTGTTGAGGTCCGAGCAAAAAGGTCGATCGAATGGAAACGTGTCGAGAGCTGGTTCAACTCAGCCAAGAATACGAGAAGAGTTTTTTTTTTCGAACTTATCATCACTGGAGATGAGACGTGACTTCCTTATTTCAATCCTTAGACTAAATCACAAACTTTCCTAAAGGCTTTTATTGAAAAACGCCCTAAGAAGTTGCATTCACGGCCACTCCTTCAGCAGGACGATACAAGGCCCCACACCGCGTGCTTCGCTTGAGCATCCATAGCAAGAATGAGGTGGGAATTTCTCCTGCATTCGCCCTAATCGCCGTATCGCCCAGTGACAACCCCTTCTTCGGCGAGATTAAAGAAGCCTCTGCATTGATTGCATTGAGGGAATGAAAGCTGCACTAAACAGGTGGATCAGAAACACTCCAGAAAGTATTTTTCGAAAGGTCTAAGGAAACTGATTCCACGCTGGAAGATGTGTCGAACTCAGGAGAGACCATGTTGAAAAGTCACAATTTAATGATGATGAATAAAGAAGTTACCCAGAAATTATAAAGAAATTCCCAGAACTTTCTGAATGCCCCTCGTTGTTTCCACATTTGGGCATTACTTTCGTGCGAAGAGAAGAGATAGTTCATTTTAAAATATGTTACATGAAGTATCGGGAGAGCAAATGATCAGGATGGAGAGGTTTGGAAAAGGTGTACAGCCTCGATTTTCCTCTCAAAGCACCTCTTCAGATTTCGTAATAGTATCAATATTTTGCACCTCCACACTCGAGATACAAGTGAACGTTGAAAATTCCGACTGGGGCTGTTGACACAGACCTTGAAATTTTTAGTTCCGGGGTCGGAAATCGATGACAAGTGCGACAAGGACACGCCTTGCATACCCGACGAAGCGATGGAGTGCAGCACCGAAGGGAAGTGTCGGTGCAAGGACGGCTTCGAGGACCAAAAGCATTGTTGTAAGTTTCCCCTCGTTATCATTCCAACTTCGACGGACTCATTCTCCCTGACAATTTTCATTTCCGTGCAGCTGGGGCGAGCGAGATCACAGGTACGGTCTACCTCCTTCTCACCTCTTTCTTCCCACACGTCTGGTTCTCATGACTGACTTGATGAGTTTTGGAATAAAATATTTCTCCATTAAAACAATTGCCAATCGATTGTCATTTTTTCTACATCAATTTCTCCGACTTCAAGGAAGCAAAGGAAGAAAATTAATTCGTTGTATGCATCGGCTAAAGGAATCTCCACCCAGTTTCCTTCATCATCTCAGGCAGCACAACAAAGTCCCGCCAACGTAAGGACTAAATTATGTCGAATTTTCACTTGTGCGATGTGTGCCCAACGTCGGTTCCCAACGGTAGCCTCCTACAGACTTGTCCCTTGGCCCCACATTGAGCTATCACTGAACGCGGACGTGCGGTACGACTTTTCAAGGGGTTCAAGAGAAGTTGCGAATGAGCTGAATAATATTTTTCACATGATCATTCTGAACATGTGAAAAATATAATGTGGTTAGCTAACAGACAAAATTGTCGTTGGCTATGAAATACCAGGCGACTACTACCTACCTAAGCTGTCTGTATTTGAGACATTCACACTTTACGTGGGATTGGAAAATCCATGTAATTTCATCTCTCAATCGTCTGTTTCACATCTTCGCACTGGAAGAGCTTGTTAGGTGAAATTTCTTTTGTGGCTTCCCTTTTGCTTTACTGTATCTAAACTCGAAATGGAGCCAAAAAAAGGTACAATTAAAAAAGGTACAATTACAAGCCCCTATTTGAACCTTGATTCTTCCATAAATGCTGGGGGTTCGCCTGGACTGTTTCACCATTTTAAACATAGGCATTGATAAATTTAATAGTGTCCGCCGACGCTCTCTGTGGAAGAAGAAAAGGTGTCGCTTGAAAATTACTAGGAACTTAAGAAAATAGCGATGAGAACTTTAAAACTATACGAGAATGGCAATATGAGAAAAGAACCCCACGAGTTCAAAGCTTCATATCCCCAGTTTTCTGAATTTGAAAGGATCAGCAAAAATGAAATTGGCGGAAGTTCGATTCCCAGTGAAGGCATGCTGTATACCAAATATGATCCAGATCCGTAAAATGACTGTCACCACTTTTGACTCGAAAATTAGAATGTCTCGGATGAAAGTCAGATAACACGCTTATTGGGTTGGAAAGAAAGTCTTGCAACACTCTGCACAAATGTTTCAAAATGTTATAACTTTATTGAAATGCAATCTCAGTCTACAATATAATGATGATGAATAAAGAAGTTACCCAGAAATTATAAAGAAATTCCCAGAACTTTCTGAATGCCCCTCGTTGTTTCCACATTTGGGCATTACTTTCGTGCGAAGAGAAGAGATAGTTCATTTTAAAATATGTT